CCGCAGTTGTGATGGCTGTTTTGCTGGAGACTTCACTTGGCTCCTTTGTTATCGACTTGTATACAGGAGAACGCCCGAAATGCTCCCTCAATTTTCTTAAACTATGCAAAGTTCATTACTACAGCGGTTGTCTATTCCACAGTGTCCAACGGAACCTTGTGGCACAAACAGGCGATCCGACTGGTACCGGCAGAGGTGGGAGTTCAATATATGAACAACTGTATGGAGAACAAGCTCGATTTTTCGACTGCGAGTTAGTTCCAAAAATATATCACAAGAAACGGGGACTGGTGTCAATGGTCAACAATGGCAATGGTCAGCACGCATCACAGTTTTTTGTTACACTCGCGGACGATCTCGATTATTTAAATGACAAGCACACCGTATTTGGAGTTGTAAGTCCGTAATGTCTTTGTCGTATAATTTAGTTTGCCTTACTATATCCTGCTACGGTTCGTCTAGGTGTCTGAAGGAAATGACTTCTTGTCGAAAATAAATGACGCCTATTGCGACAAGGAATCCCGACCTTATCGCAACATTCGTATTCATAGGACCATTATTCTTGATGATCCTTTTGACGACCCGGAAGGTCTTGAAGTCCCACCAGCTTCGCCAAAATATTTAAGGATTTTTGAGGTAAAAGTTCGTTTTCGGGAAGGCTACGTCTTGAGCCATGATAATTTCACTCTTTAAGTTTGTGTTACTACCATCGCACTGTAAAAATTTTTCGCTTTACATAGTTGGTCTGTTTGGATATGGCAAAGTCAGGAGGCCAGACGTTTTTCTCATTTCTAGCGGGCTGCCACAGTTACCTTCGTGTTGCGTCATGGAACAGCGGACGGTGGTTTTGAATTAGTTCGTTCACGAAATGCTGTGATAGGTGCTGATTATTTTAATTGGTTGCGTGGTTGGTTGTTTTGTTGATGAAAGGAGCCACCTAGGCTATAATATTGCACCTATAACTGTATTGTGTGGTTTTTTGGACATGAAGGACTGGTCCCACTGCATTATCAATTTCCAACAGTAATTTACATGCGAAATATTTGTTTATTTGCAGTTTGTTTATTTGTCACATTGCAGGATGTGGACGGTACTGGACCGCCCCGAATCGAAGAGGACGAGGAATTGGAAGGCGAAACCGGCGCGGAAGAATTGACTGAGGCTGAACTGGCTGAACGGGAAGCGACGAAAGAGGCGCGTACAAATGCCCAGCTGCTTACACTTCTTGGAGATTTACCTGATGTGGATGCAAAGCCGCCCGAAAATGTCCTTTTTGTCTGCCGCCTGAATCCAGTCACGAGGGCCGAGGACCTTGAAATCATTTTTAGGTACTTGCATTTATATAAACCCTCTTGTTTTTTTTTCATTCAATGGTTTCGCTGCGGCCTAGTCTTCAGTAAAATCTATTTCGCTGCCATGTTTTTCCAGAGGTTGAAAAGCAGTCTAAAGTGTAGAACGTTTCAAAGATTGCGGAGTTGAATTCGTGCACAACTGTTTTCGCCTTTGTGCTCAACTTTTTGTACAAACGTGATAGCAGCAGGTCTGAGGTGTGGAGGGCTACTTATCATGTTTTAAGATATATTTAGCTCGTATTTAACTTCAAACGCGTCCTTGGTGCGGACAAAAAACCCTGACAAATTGAAGCCCATTTTTTTCGCTTCTGATAATTCTGTATTACTTTTTAATTGAATATAGTGTTATTAAAGACCATGTAACACATTTTCCTTGCGGCTGTAGATGAGGTATTGTGGGGTTCAAAATGTGAGTTTAAGAGAGAGATCAATTTGTGGAAGTGAATGAATAGAATGGTAGACACAGTTCTTTTTCGAGTTTGTATGATTATCGTAAGATCACTGACATTCAAACAAGTCTGCATTTTATGCTTTAAAACCATAGTCGTAAATGGCTTTAGTTAATGGGTGATGCTGGGACCTTTTGTGGTATTAAAGTGTTTATTAACATTGAAAAGAGGTAAAAGTTCTTTTGTAAGGTTTATTTTTGCATTTCACCAAAATCTTTTTTGCCTTGTATATAATGGACAAAGAAGCATCTGGTTAGTTGAAGGCAACTAAAGATTGAGAACCGGTCAGGTTGCTCTTGTTGTACACCTAATTGTAGATTACGCTGTTTTACAATACCGTATAAATTTATTCTTAGTGAATAAACTTTTTAAAATCAAAAGCAAATTACTCTTGGTGCAAATGTTCTGAAGCAATGTCAGAACTCTCTTTGAATTGCTGCTATTTCACTGGTTAACTATTTTTAACCAACCAATCTGATTGAATTGTTAATCACTGCAGCCGTTTTGGTGAGATTCTCTCATGTGAGGTCATCTACGATCGTCGCACTGGCAACTCGCTCCAATACGCCTTCATCGAGTTCGCGCGTAAAGAGGACTGCGAGGAAGCTTTCTTAAAGATGGATAATGTGATAATCGATGATCGACGAATTCACGTAGACTTTAGTCAGTCAGTTGCAAAGGAATGGTTTCATTATCGACGTCAGAGCCGCCAGGACGCTCGAACTCCACCACGCAGACCGTCGCCCGATAGAAGGCCAAGCAGAGGGGAGGATCGTGCTGGTAAAAAGGATTCACGGGGAAAGAGTGAACGTTCTTCTCCTAGCCCTGATCTCAATGATGCACCCCGGGAACCCAAAGGCATGGAGTTTCTTCTCTCAGACCAGGAGGACACTAGTTCCGGTCGTTCATCCGTTGAATCAAATAAAAAGCGTGAGATGTCCAACAAGGGAAAAATTCACAAACGTGAGTACTGTATTGCGTCTCCACAACAATTCTTAGTAAGCAGTCTGTTGGACCTGTTGCATTCGAGCTGGCATGCTACAAGCCTTTAGCGAAACCCAAATACATATATTTAGGAAGATTGCCATGATCCGAGGTGTTGTTTACTTGATTTAAGGCAACCGAGAACACTTTACATTTACGATGGCTCCCTTGGTCACTTGAGCAGTATTTCCATTCTAAAGTTCCATTCAAATTTTGTAGATCTGCAATTTCCCTAACGGTGTGTTTGACCCAGTAATTATGGTCGACGCTAATCGGCCTCATCGCAATTCACGCGCTATCTTAAGTCCTTTTTAACTCCTTATATAAACTAGGATACTGGCTGGCTACATACGGTGTACATTAGAGTGGGCATAAAATGGAAATCTACAACGTCACTTTTACGGCCTTGGCTACAGAGGCTACATCCGTCGAAAACGCGCCAATAATACTTTGTGTTTGAATTTTAGAGAGACACCGCGAGACTCGTCATCAGCACTCCGAGAGGACGCGTCACCGCAGATAGTTGGATTTTGTACGGCCGTCTTCGTTTTTCCCTATTTGTACTTAGTAAATGCCCTCATAAATCTAGTTTTTAACTTATCGCTTCGCAACGAAATTTAGGTACAGTGAATTTGAGTCCTGTTGCAGCTAGTGTTATGAGCATTTGCGTGCGATTCGTACGCGCGTCCTCAAGTCCTTTCATTGCAAAATCGTCAACTTGTTGGTGTTGACGTGTTGCGTCGTTATATAAGATCTCGGAAAAACTAGGCACATTCAGTTTGGCAGTGGTAGTAATCAACTTCAAAGTATTAGACACGAAATATTTTCGGATTGTATAGATGTTCTCATTATAGTCTATATTCTGTGTGTAAGCTACCACCTCATAGTCTACTGGACTAAGATTCAAACCGTGATTGTCATTGACGATAGAAACAAGTTGAGATTGGCTTCGGTAGACACTAACCACCACTGTAAGGACCAGAAACGCCTTGGGGTAAAGTGATTACGCCAGTCGAGCCTGGTCGTGCTAACGCAGTGTTGAATAATCCGAATGTCGTCTGCCCGGGACGCAAATTTCTAGTGCATGATTCACTGCCTCATCTGACGTTCGAAATCGAATAAGTGCGGGTGGAGGAGGGCTGGTGACAACCCAGACATATTATCCTTTTCCTAAACCAGGCCGTGTCTATCTGCCTTTCCATTTAACCACTTGACAATTCGGTAGTGGCTAAATTGTATTCTATACACACCAGGCGATGTTACGCACGCCTCTATTAATTAAATAACATCACAGGGAATTCGCGTGCGTGAAGGAAGAGAATTTAATACGATCGTTAGGGTGCGCCGCCACCACCGACCGTGGTGTCCTCGGAGGTTGGATTGTTGTCACCAAACTTTTCGGCGCTAAGTGAAGCACCAGACGCTGAAGTTGGGTGGTCTGCGGGACGAAGAGCAGCATCGAGGGCCGGCGAGGGCGAGAGACGACTTCCGGCTGCGGCGGTGTTCCGGGGGTTCAGCAGTGCCACCAGACGGTCCCGGTAAGCGGGATCTTCATTATCACTGGCTGGAAGACGCATCAACGACTCTTTTATTTCCTTGCCTCTTACCAAACAGTCCCAGCAATCGCGATTTGCCAAACAGCCATCCAACAGTGGTTTCAGCCGACCGCAGACACGAGTGATGAGCTTGAGGTTGCAAAAAGAAGTTAAACCAAACGTAGTTACTTGGTGAAGGTGTGGTTCAAGCGAGAGACGCTACTTGGCTTGAATCCGTTAGTGCAATCGAGGAATCGGTTTCTGGATCATGGGGACTGACACTCCACGAAATGATGCCAACCACTAAACTAATTAACGGATCCCCACTAAACCATTGTCAAGTCTGATGTCCGTGACTCACGTATTGGCTTTTTTTACTTAGCTATGCGTTTGGGCGATGTGAAACTAGAAAACGTGTAGTTTACCTATGACTCACATTCGAAATGAGCTGATAAAGGTGACTAATACATGCATGAGATATTAGGAGACCAGGAGCCACAACCAAAGTGGTAGGATTTAAAAAATCCTAGGTGTTAATGTGGTCGGGTGGTATGAATTAAATCTGCTGCAAAGTGGATCCAGGCAGTGTGAACTACTGACACTTAAGACAGTTGTGGTGTTTTTTTTTAAATGTGAACACGTACCTTATATACAGGGGCGCAGATTGTATCGATAAACTCGATCTGCATTTGTGGAAACTGATGACTGAGATCTCGGTCCATGACTGCCTGTTCACAAGAAAATACAAATTAGTAAAAGGACTTGTAATCAATACGACGAGAACTGGATTTGCATAGCTCACCTCCGGCTTTATGTTAAGCTTTTGTTTTTCAAGATCCCCTTGTTCAAAGAACTCATTTGCGACTAATTCAGCCGACTAAAATTGACAGGAAAACAAAGATTTAAGTAGGAAGTGATTTGGTATGCACGATCCACTCGGCCCTTTTGAAGCTCAAGCGGGGTCACTGTCACACTTTGCTGTCGCACCTCAACGGGTGTTTTACTGGTGTGATCTATTTATTCGTGTCTTAGGTCACAATGCTATTATACCAAGTGAAAAAACCATGTAAACTGACACCACTTGTGAACTGGGAATACGCATCAACTGAAGGAAAGCTAGAATGTCGTTTTGATATCACTAAAACGTGACTTCCGCTCTTCCATGCTCGTCTGAGGCCGCGCTGTCATTCTGGACCTATCATGCCCATTACATGCAATAATGGTGTGCTCAGGAATGGGATTTGTGTCGCATGTTCTGTGTGTGCAACAGTGGATTACTCGAAAATTCCACATTTTCAACATGGCAAAATTGTCACAAAATTCTAATTTTACCAGCAATGCATTACTTTAAAGTTCCTTCATAAATGCCTAATTGCAAAATTGTTATTTTGCTAGAAAAAGCATTAAAATAGAACCAAAATGTACTAATAAGCATGACTTTACTTTCCGAAATACCCAACAGGTTCAACTAGAAGTTTCCTATTCAAGCATCTGATTTGACTTCAATTTGAAATGTTTAAAATTACGATCCGGTAAAGCGCTGAGCCGTTAAAGTAACTAGTTCAATGTAATGAGGATTTGATTGGTAATGGCGAAAATCAAAAGCGATTTGAAACGATGTGGATTTGAAGATGGCACAGCAGCACACCACGTTGGATCCGACCAACGATTGATTCGTTTTCTCTTATTTGATCAACTCTAGCATGTCCGAATTAAAGTTATACTCTACTTATGACATTTAAGTAAAATTTACCTTTTTCTGTACGGGCCACGGTTTGGTACTCGCTGAGACGTCGCTAGCAGTCATGAGCATAGACATAAGCAATTCTCGATTCGATGTCTCTGTTTGCCACATGGTTTTGACGACAATATCATTGGTCGTCTCTTCACCCACTGCGGAAATTCGATCATCAAGTACCTGTCGAAACTCTGGTAGCTTTGCGAAGTAACGCGAGAGATCGGTCGCAAGAATGGCCTTCTCCATAATACTGACAGCACGACGATACTCATCGTGGCTCAGAGTGCAGAGAATGTCGTTGCCCTTAGTAGTGAAATATGTTGTCAGTGTATCAATTCCCACGCATTTTAATTTCACACTACAAATGTCAGCCCCACCAAATACGCCATGCTTAAACAGTCAGATTTAAACAAAGGTCCATCTGTGTGATATCTCTTAGAGTATACAATTTTCGGAATATGAGGCGAGCAATTAGTGACAGTGACTTAACAGAAATTCCCACTAAGCGTCATTTGTTATCTGATCTGTTACAAATACCAGACGAGTGTAGGCGCAAACACACTTCAAAAGTTAATAGACGGAAGGGACGAACCCGCACAATCTCTCCGAAATATAAAAACAAATAAACAAAATGAATTGTGTGGTACAAATTCCGTTTCCCGTAGGGACCCAACAGCGCCAAAGTCGAGGGCTCTGCAGTGACAGGAAACCCGCCAGATGAAGGTGTCATGCAATAACATTTGGCCAAGACGGCAGCCTCATAGCAGTGGGGGGTTTGAGCAATGTTTAAAAGGGCGATTTCTTCTCAGAGAAGGCAAAGGGCCAAAGACCACGTACCTTTGTATTGAGAAGCATAATACATCGGTCAAAGTGGTGATGCTCAAGAACCGAAGTGGAGTAGAGGTTGACGAGGGGAGACATGGTGCGGATCTGAAATTGATTGTTGGTGCCCCTATGGTCGAGGTCGTGGGAGAGGCACGCAATGATTATAGCCAAACATTCCAGATCACTGAAAATTGCCTGCATTCCTCCGGTCTGAAAGGAGGAAAAAGGCAACCATGAGGCGATCCCCATGAAAAACAGTCTCTCACTTGCCGAGTTTTGTTGCATGATTGTAAGTGGGGGCGGCAAAACCAACTTGACTTGCCTTGGACAAAAAAAATGCAAAAATAAAGCGGTTCCATCTTTGGGTCACTCAGAAATACTGATAATTTGCTAGAACCACACGCATTTGATGCTGTCATTTTAGTGTGGTGCAGCGGAGCCTCCAATAAAAGCTAAATCTCTATAACATATTTGTAATTCTTTGAAGGTGCATCACAATGTTATCCGACTGTATTTTTCGAGATAACTGGTAAATGCTCACTACAAAGCAACCAAGAAATATGATAGCTTAGCCCAACTGATCGATGAGGATAGTATATTTGCAGGCGGAGACTACAAAACTTCAACCACACTGGACAGATAATTTGGAGAAAGGTTTGTGAATGCTAACGCGAACCAGTAAATCGTCCACAAAATCTGTCTAAATTTATACTCCTCGGTCATGCACTATTGACGGCAATGGAATTACACGTCGTTTTGCTGCTGCTTTTGTGAAAGAGGTATTTAGAATGTTTAAGGCCCAACCTCAAGAGATGCTTCGATTTCCCAAACAAAAAGGCAGTGAGCGTCGTACATCTGGGAGGTGGCAGTATTAACAGCGTCAATCGAAATTCATGAAAGCGGTTTTTCTCCACTCTTATTTTCCCATTATACAAAATCTCTTTACTGAGTAAAAAATATTGGTCCTGCCGCTTTCAATCATTAAAATTTACTAAAAAGAGAGCGGTAAAGTTCATTTTTTGGGCTTAAACTAAGGTCAGGTTTAATCTTGAACGAAGTTAATTTCGGTCAAAGGATAGGTTATCCCCTGGTGGGACAAATTAACATACTGATTTGCATCTTCTGGTGCGAAGAGAGCTAATTCCTTATCTTCCAAAAATGTGACTTGAGACTTTTGGATAATTTGAAAGTTAAAACTCACCTCTGCTGCAACATATTAGCTCTTAGTAATCTAGGTTCAGCAAGGAATCGACCGAAATTCGACCGCGAAAAAATGCAATGACACACGTTTCTGCTTTCAATTGCCCAAAAATTTCAAGTTATTCATCAGAACACCGTTTTTTAAACCACGATGGTTAGGGAAACCAAATAACTTGTAAAAACAATTAAATACCTAAAGTGGAGATTACGATTGCTGACAGGGTTATGTCCATAGAAATGTTTATGGGACAGCAAATCAACTACTTCCTGCTTCTGGTGGCGGTTTTCTACCATTAGCAGCTTTAGCAGATGCTTCCTAATTTGGATAATCACTATGCAGTAAAACAAACATCTTCAAAAAAAAAATACAAAAAGATGCAAGAACACTTAATCCCGCCCAGTTAATTCTTAAGACTTAATCACAGGCAAATATTTAGGACTGGTTTTACTAACTACCACACGTACCATGGAAAATGCATAATTTGTAAATGTTCAGGACTTTGATTCATGTTAGAGACCTCGCAGGGTTTCCTGAATCAATTCCTAGATTTGAATCTGCATACAGCAATGCTCGGTAGAATTATCTGAGCACGGCTTGGAAGTTGTTTAGCCAATACAAATGCAACTTCACTGTTAGATATCTTTTCTGCAGTTTAGTAGTACCACTAGCCTCTTAGGTTGTGAAATAAGCAGTTTATTTTTATCAAATTCATGATAATTTACGCAAAAACAATTTTTCATCCATTTGGAATAAAAAAAATTAATCGTTTGTTTGAATAAAAGCACATCATTTTAGCGAAACAATGGTTATGCCCTACTGTAAAATTGAAAAAAATTAGAATTTAAGTGAAGCAAACAAACCCCAATCTGGACTTCACACCAGTTTGTCAAAACACCAAAAATGCGCTATTTTGGTCTATTCGGGTGCACGTTGAACTAATTTAAGACACGTGATTCAAAAAAGAGACGCTTTACCGGATGAGAAAATGTTAATGCCAGAGTCCAACTAAAAGGCCATGAAAATGGTAGCTGTCTGTGTTTTTACCGTTGAAACTCTCGCACTTTAACCCCAGATAATCCCACAGTACAAAACAAAACCAAGACGTCGTTGGCAAATCTAAATTCGGAGCTGCTTGGGGGCACTGTGATTACCTTAGATTCACCAATACAAAATGATAAAGGTTAAACGTTTGTTTTGCGACAAAAAATGATTGAAAGTTCAGTGACACTTTGATGCATCCAACACTAAACAGGTGAAGACAAATTTAAGTGATAAAAGTATTCAAAAGGTAAAATAAAATGGGTACTTCAAGATCCAATCGTACAAACAGAAAAGAGCCTTGGGGAAATAAAAAGCAATTTAGCTAAGAGTTACACTTCACTTTTTGTGGCAAACAAGCACAATGAGCCTCTACCAAGTTGCAGTTATGTGCAAATGAAACAACAGAGTCAGTCAGGTGGATAAAGTCATGACGTTCTGCTCTTCATTCTTCTCCTAAACAGCTCAGTTAGCGTGAAAGGCAGAACAAATATTCCAAAAGTTTTCAAAATCAACCAAATTGTCATTTCGGCGTCGGCGTGGGCTAAAGTACAACTTTTATTAATTTAAATTTGCAGTTTGCCCCAGGGCCAGCTCTGCGATCATGCGTGCAACTTGGCTTTTAAAAATACTTTCCACTTGACCTTAGGCCCTGGATCCTGGTCCGGCTGAAAAAATATTTCATCCTCCTAACATGATTTACAACGGAGGTTGAGTGGTTTTTCTAAATGCAGCTATCCACCCGAAAAACTGGTTGTAAATGCTCACAGACCTGTCAGCAGCTACTGCTTGCTCCCTTCGTCGCAGCGAGCTCAAAACCCCAGTCCGGATGTTTATGCCTATCGCTAGCGGCTTCAAAATAACTAAGGCCAGTAGTCAGTCCAAAGCCTTGACATCATAGCTCGTGTTTGCTGACCTCATCATTGTGGAAATAAAGATTTTAGTGGAAATCAGAGCAATGTGTTAGAGACGTGTTTTGCAAAAGAAGCTAGTCGAGTTGATTGTGAGCAGAACGCTCAAATCGGGATCACCACTACGTCATAAAATTAGGCGTTGATCAAATTATATCAGAGACTGTAAATCCAAGTAGGGGAGGAATCAGGACTGTTTAATACAAACATTACCTACAAGTAAAAGTGCAGATATCGACTTCACCGGGGTGTACAGAACCTTAACCTTTCATGCAACTCTTACGATGGCATAGAGGGCAGGCAAATTTTATCGCAGTCGGCATTAAAATGACAGGAGCATTAAAGTGCTCAACCGGTCTAGCTCTCTAATTACGGGATGCGTAAACAATATTTACGACTCTCCTACTCTGGTCAATTTTGTATAAAGTCGCCGTGAAGACGTTTATTATGCAATTTTGTAAAATATACGACTAAACGATACAATTGTTTAGCCTCTTATCATTGAAAACCCAAGCAGGAATTATTATAATTAAAAAAAAGGCCCCACATTTTTTACTTTAAACTTCCTAATAACAATGCGAATTGCCGAGGAAATGCGCTAAATTTAACCGTCGGGTATATTTTTTCGTAGTTTTTTTGGAAATGCATGACTTCACAAGACTGCAACTACTGGATTGTGATGCATGTTGCATTTGTCAGCTACTACCCGATCCTGTTCTTAGCACTTTTTTGTTTACGGTTGACTTCCTGTACACTGCACACTTTTTTTGATTCTGTTCTACTAATTGGACGGCGCAAAATAAATCTTGACAGAACAAGTACACAAGAGTTGGTAAAATGACTAAAAATTGCAGGAGTATATGAAACCAAATAAATACATTTATCGTAGACAGAATTCCATGCCACATGACACTTAGATCCACTTGTACTGACTGGGGCACGAGTAAAAGGCTTATAAGTGCTATATAAAGTGTCCAGTAAAGATATTTGGGTGAGAAAAAGACATTTCCTTGACTTCTTAATGTCTTTTGACATTCAAGTGTATGACGTTACATATATACAGACATTCATTTTGTGGCAGATAATTGGTTTCGTTACAGTTCTCTCATACATCTGGCAGTTAGAGATATCCCTGTTAAAAAAAACAAGATGTTGGAATACAGGCAAGCAATACCTCGAAGCACGAAAAAAAGGAAAAGTCTCGAAGATAGGACTAACAAGGCTGTCTAACAAGGAGAATGAAAGCTGTTATTTGCCTGATTACAGTGTCCTGTTTATTTTGGGTCCCAATTCGTCAGTATTTTGCGCAACCCAATTTATGATCGTTTAAAAGAAATGTCATCGATGCATGTTTAGAAAATTATTTCAAACGAAAAATGACTGCCGTTAACATAAAAACCAGTATCATAATTGTTTAGTTATGTTTTCCTGAAAAAAACCTCTCACAGGGAACACTTAATGGCCTTTAGTCCTGATGAGCACATTAGAGGAGATGGAGAAGTTACCGAAGCCATTTTCTCCAAGTTTTAAAATTTCCCTTGCTTTATTGACGGCTCTCATAAGAGTCTCCCATACGATTTGTAATTGCTTCGCTATGGTGCGTATGTCTCGTGGTAAACAAACCACTTGCTTACTTCCAATAGGAACAGCCAGTGTGTTATCCGGCTCAGTGGCTTTCCAATGCCAGTGAGATAGGCCTGTTGTCACTTTCTTTTCTGGTAAACTTAAAGTAGAGCATAAAAAACACTCATGTCAAAAACCCCAACCGGCTTAGCAGTTGCGGCTGTCATCACTGTCACTACCTTTTAAGTTGCAATAAATTGATTTCAAATTAAATGCTGGTTCTAATTTGGTTGATGGAAATGCGAAGTTGTTTACGGGGTACTACAAAAATCAGAGACTAACGAAGCTCATACGACACTACACAAATAGTTGAAATGCCTCCCTGGCACAGGGGTATCTGGACAAACGAAAAAGTATTAATTGTTTAAGCATGAAATTTATTTAGAGATTTTTCCTTTTTTCATATTTTGGGTGCCACAAGATGTGAA